ACTTATCACTCAAAATGTATTCATGGCTTAGAAAGATGATCACATCTAACAGTTCTAAGCATGCATAGTTTCAACAAAATAAAAATAGATCTTCTTTTGGGTGCAAAATATAAGAATTTATCATGGTCGATAGACTATACCTTTGTTGTCACCAGTTTGGAAGGTTTCTAGAAAATATGGATCCTGCATGCATACAACACCATACATCTAGTTACATGCAGAATCAGTTTCTTCATTTTGGAGGCAGTGCATCTGGTTCCAAATGCCATGAATTTTCAGGTATGCCATATTCACCAATTCCCGGCACCCTAAAAGCTGGAATGCGGTGGGAGAAACTTAGCATATCTTCTCTGCAAACCACCTGAGTTAGATCAAACCCATCATATTGTAATCTCTGAAAGAAAGTAAGGCAACCTTTCACCTCTCCCAGCCTAGCAATGCTTACACCATCTCTTTCTGAATAATCTGATACAACTTCAACAATCTGGGTTTGGTAACTTTCATGGTCATGCTGCTTCCACCTGATATCCCAATTTTTGTACATTGCCCATATCTCACCTTTTAGTGGGCAAATCCTGTAGAAATTCCCACATGGACTTTGTTGGTACTGAACTAAATAGGAGAACAATGAAACTTGAACATTCACACTGGTTCCACTCACCTCAAACACCCCACAAGTAATTGGAAGATTTTGTTTCTCCCATTGAATCTCATGTTCCAGGCCCATCAAGGGTTCTAACAGCATTACACGCACTTGGCTCTCTGAAATTCTGTCATCTATTCTAACATATTTATGAGGCATACAATCCTTTCCACAGTATATTGCCCATACCTGACCTGTTTCAAACTGTTGCTGAGGCAATACAGGCGTCAAAAGTCTGTTCTCTGGCTTCATGCTGGCTGAAATGCTTTCAATATTGATGGGTGCCTTTTGGTTAGCAATATCTTGAATCATATCATCTGGTAAGGCCATCTGGTCAAGCTCGAACATTCCACGAACAACATTCTCAATCTCTCCACCACTGAACCTATATGCTGGGATAAGATGCGAGAACCCATAGAAGTCACTAGGGGAGATATGAAAAGTAACTGGATTTCCTTCAATTGTCTGCCTTGCAAAGATACTGTTGAAACCATTGACCTTTGCCATGCAAGCCACATCTGCACCTGAATATTTTGAGAACTCTGAGATGATCTCTACCACCAACAATCTGTGTCCTTTTGCAGCATTCAGGTTTGAAATCCAATCATCAAGGCCCCTCCAGTCCTTGTAAAGTGCCCAAATCTCTCCTCTTTTCGGGTATATGTCAAATTGTTCTCCTGTTATACCTTGAATCCAGGAGCATTTGTAGAATGAAACCATTGGCCATCTTATCTCATCTTTCATCTCTAGATTCAACTCAAACAGTCCACAAGCAACAGGCAGGCCAGCATCGCACCATCTTCTCTCAGAAGGAGTAACAGGAATTGGTTTCAACCATGTAACAGAAATTGATAATTTTGATTTCATATCTATTCGAGCATAGCAGTAACTATGCTGCAAATTTGCTTTATAATAAGTTGCCCAGATTTGACCAGCCTTAACATGATCAGGTTTCCTATCATTCTCAAAGTTATAGAAGTCCTGATTACGTCTTTTCTTCACTAAATCTTTTGGTAAAGATGCATTGCCCTCCATGAAGGTTGATTGAGATGCTATGCACAAGTCTGTTCTATTTGAAGACACATCTAAGTCTGCTATGAGTGTTGTCCTACCAGTGGAAATCAGATTGTCAGCGGAAGACTTACTGGGTTCCTTAATAACAGCTTTATTGTTTCGGTTGTCATCATCTTCAAAATTTAGCCTTTTCCTCGAAGGATTTTCAATAGATTTTGAAGACATCTCTTCTGTTCTCTTATTTCCGTTTGAAATGCTTCTATAAGAATCCCCTCTATATTTGGAGGAGTTTTGAGCACTGGTTACAATTTTCTTGTCTGAGGTGCTTTGGTGCAATGATTCCTGGACTTTGAAAGCATTACAATCCTCAAAACCTTCACTTCTTTTGGAATCAAATTCAGGAGTTTTCTTGCCTGAAAGTGTGACTAGTGCATCCTCTATGAGTTTCAGTGCCAATTCTGTACCTGGGAAGGTACTCCTGATGGATTGCAACACGGAGTAAAGTTTCTGGTGCTGACATCTAATATCATCCAATGTAGAAGCAGGTGTAAGCTGAAGGATCTGGTAATAGTCAGTTCCACCACCAACTTGAACACTCACAGATGATAGAATATCACACACAGTCAACATGGAATTGATTTTTTCAATCCCTGGAAAAAGCTCTCGTACTTTGAGTAAATTTTCCCTGGCACCAGCATAATCTTGATGAATCATTATTTTCTCAGCAACTCGTTTTGATAGTATATCACATACGGTCAACATGGAATTGATTTTTTCAATCTCTGGAAAAAGCTCTTGTGCTTTGAGTAAGTGGTCCCTGGCACCAGAATAATCATTACGACTCATCATTTTCTCAGCAACTCGAGTTGCTTGAACAGCCTTCAATACATTTTGATTCATATTCTCTGTCACCTTTTTATTCCAGGTGTATAACTAGTTCTCCAAAAACTCAAACACATGCCAAACGATCCAAGCACTTGACTGGATGCTCTGCTTTAAACTAAAGTGTTGCACTTGAACTGAGCCAGGAAGTAGAACAGGAATCCGGGACATTCACCTGAAGCTGGCAAAAACTGCAATTAGAAGAAAACTTAGCCGAGGAAGAACAAAAGTTGAGAAATACACAAAGAAATGGTCTTATCATCTATATGATACCAGTCATACCATTCATTTGCGTCATTGCCAATGAAATTCTCACTGACCATTACAAGTACAGAGCAAAATGCGAAAACCATATATTTATCATCTTCCTCTGTGTCTGAAACATACATTAGCAAAGAACCCTCGCTAAACACATATTTATAAGAGAAATCTACTGCACATCAAGGACAAGGTTTTGTGTTGTTTAATTTGCCAAATAAGAAATTAGACGTGGACAAACACAGATATGGCATACTAAAGTTGGATTACCGAGTCATTGTAGCTAGGAGGGGAGCTGATATAGTTTATGTGAAAGAAGCACAAGACATTCAAAAGACAGAAACACTAAAATCTCTTGAAAAACATAAAGGTTCCATTAATATCAGCAGTGTACAAGAACATTTCCAACATATATTCCCTTGTTCTCTTCAAAATGAAAACTTTAACCATTAACAAAGAATAAAAATGAAAACTTTAACAAACCCAGAAACCAATGGCATAACCCAACCAATTCATGGCTTTCCCAACACCCTTATATTGTTCTCTTCAAAATAAGAACTTGAACTACTACCAAAGGAAAAAGGAAAAATGGGAACTTTAAGAAACCCAGAAACCCATGGCAAAAACTAACCAATTCAAGGACAAAATCACAGTTTTGAAGAGTGAAAGAATTTGCAATGTTAACCTTTCTGCAGGTCCCCTTTAGCTGTCGTGTCTGCTGAACCCTAGTAAAGAAGACATGACCCCATGTCTACATCCCTATAGGTAGAAGAAGCATGATGTATGTATGTTTGCACTGCATTGCATGCATGAAATGAAAGCATGTCATGGAGAGGATTTCTAGTGTTTTTGGCAATATGAGAAAATGGGTTCTGGCCATCTGGTTGGCATTTTCTTGGTGGTGGGACCGTTTTGTACATTTTTTTCATGGTAAACTCCGACCTAAAGCTCCTGCACTAGTCTCATTTTTACATATAAGCCCCAAAACTACTTTTGAGGAAAATAACCTTCTTGACTCCTCAAGATGGGAGAAAAAAAAAAGAAACTAACCTCTCTTTTGTCTTTGAGCTGTTATTTAATCATTGAAAATAGAAGAAAAAACTGTCATGAAAACCTCAAAGCTATGGGGTAAGTTTCATAGTTAGGATGCCTATGTAAAAGTGTAAATAGCGATTTTGATTTTTGAGTTCAAGCATTAGGATTTAGGATTGAAAAAGATAAATTTGAAAACTGAACCCTGTTCTTTGTTGTTATGTATCAAAAACCGGGCTGCTTTGGCCAATAAAAAAAGAATAAAAAGACATGCCCAGGGTGCTGAGGTGCTTTTGGTAATAAAAAAAATCTTTCATTCATATAATAACAAAAAGAACATCAGAAGGTTGGCAATAAAAAATCTTTCATTTATATAGATAACAAAAAAAAAAAAATCAGAAAAGGGAGGTGAAGTGCAATCAGTTTTGCCTAATCTGTGTCTCTTGTAACAGTTAATAAAGGGACAAATCCTTAATATTAGGGATTTAATTCTCTATCAATTATTACAAGTACAAGACAGCCAGCAAAAATAGCTTTATCAAAGAATATACTATATAAAACATAAAGAACAAGAAATGGAAAACGAAAAAAGGTGGAGAAGCAAACATTTAAAAAGCACTTGAGATGATAATTAATTAAAAAAATTCCAGACTTTACAAGCAGGGAACGTATGTTTGCAAATACCAAAATGTTGGGGTTGGCAAACCCCATTTGACTAATAGTAAATTACAAACACTTGACAAAACAAAAACTATGGTTTTGCTCCTCTTTGTCGGCCATGACAGAAATGAAACAAGACACAGTTCCTCCTTTTCCTACCTAGTTGTATTCATACAGTACAACTGCTTTTCACAAAATTGCAGCCAACCACATGAGTTTTGTTGTGTATTCAGATATATCCTGTCCCGGGTTTCAGGGAGAAACGGGCAGGGACTTGTTATGTATGGGTTGTCGTCTTCTTACATGGGAATAATCCATTGTAAAAAACTGGGAGCTGTCAGCTCCTTCCGCCCATTCTTCCCTTGTCCCTCCACTTCCATGTTTCTGGACTTGCTCGTTCTGGTATTTGTTCCATTTACCTGCCCCATGTCACATTAATTAACTAATTAATTCAAAGTAATAAACAATAGTGACGTTTAATACACAACAAGACTCTGTTCTTTGCAGAACTGTTATTGTTAGTTAGGAACATTCCATCCAATTTTAAGGCATTAAAGTAACCATCACTTTTGCCACCATGGACAAGCCTAGCTAGAAAGACCTGCAAAGACTTAGTTTAGCTAGTACCAAATAAAATAACTTAGCTTAAAGAGATTAAAGTTTTAACTTTCCTCCTCCTTTCCAATTTTTCCTGCCTTCCATTTGGTAACTTGAGTACTTGAGTTGCATTACTGTCACTAGAATTTTATGCACTCTTGAATAATTACACGACAAGCTAAACCTTTAGGTGAGACAGTCTTTGAAAACTAAAATGCATTTTAATCTTGTAAAAACATGACTAAAGGAGCTTGTTCTACATGATGCTCCCATTTGGACTAAAATTGGCACCTATGGTACTTTTGACATGTATGTAGAGAACTGGGTCAGTACCTGAAGTATTATCTCTGGCAGACAGCTGTTTGTTTGGTATTGCTTCTTGTGCTCCATTTACTTTTGACTGTTTCCAGAACACAGAAGATGGACAATATACGAGTGTAAGAATCGATTTAGTAACTAAATGTCATATAATCACATCCGTTGACAAAGAAAGGCTCTTACACTCGTTTCCTCAGTGATTCTCATGAGTTTCCTAGGCAGTGTTGGTGGAGAAAGCTGCTGGGCTTCGTATGCTGAACATAATGCCAAATAATTCATTAGGCAATGCCACAATGATCATGAGAAAACGAAAAATACAGAGTTTATTAGATATTTATTTACCTTGTTGATGTGAGGACTGCACGTGAATTTGAAGAGAAGAACAGGTTGTTTGCAAAGCAAAGAACACAACACAAAGTAGCAAGATCAGCTCCATTACTAGATTTGCATGAGACTTTTCTTACTTTGAGTATGGGAACTATGTGGGTTTCGCTTTATATATAACCTGAGTCTAAACAAACATTCACGCACACAGAGAGAGTGAAGGACATTGAAAGCACACCTACACAAAGCACAAAACGCAGAGTTCCCAAATCCAACTTCCTTTTTAGGAGTTTGCAATTTGCACGCGGTTTGGGCTGTGTTTTGTCAGCTTCAATGGTAGGACCCTCAGTTTTGTAATCTTGTCAACTTTTATTTTCACATAAATCCTGACGTGCAGCAGGGCTGTCAACACCAAAATGCCACATTATCAAATTCAAACAAACTTGTCCAGCTGGGTTCCTTTGCTAAATGGTAGAACAAAATATTTC